CCTCCAACTCTGACATTACTAGCATCACAATCTAGTATGTACGACAGTGAGGGATTTGGAAGCTTTAAAAGAGGAGCTGAGGCCAATTTTTCTTTCAATGTCTTGAAAGCATACTGGCAAGAAACTGTCCATTCGAACTTCTGGCATTTTTTTGTTAAATCATGTAGTGGAGCAGCTATAGTTGCAAAGTCTTTCACAAACTTTCGGTAATAGGTACAGAGTCCCAAGAAACTTCTTACCTCTCCCACATTGTCTGGTGTTGGCCAATCACGCACTGCTTTCACCATGTCAGAATCAGTTTGCACACCATGCTCACTTACAATGTGACCCAAGTAAAGCACATCTTTCTGGAACAAGTGACATTTCTTGGGATGGAGTTTAAGGTTTTCTGCTTTCAAACACTTGAATATTTCCTCTAGCTGGGACATTTCCTCATCAAACGTTGTTGCAAACACAATTATGTCATCCAGGTACACTAGGGCTATCCTTCATTGTAGGCCTTCCAGAACTCTTTCCATCAGCCTCTCAAATGTTGCTGGAGCATTGCTAAGCCCGAATGGCATCACACGGTATTACCAGAGACCTTGGTCATAACTAAATGCAGTCTTAGGTTTATCTGCTTCAGTCATTTTCACTTGATGGAAACCCGACTTTAAGTCTAGAGTTGAAAACCACCTGGCTCCCCTTAGGGCATTAAGAGTATCATCAATTCTTGGCAGTGGGTATGATTCTTTTTTTCGGTTATACTTTTAAGAGCCCTGAAGTCCACACAGCAATGTTGGGTCACATCCTTCTTCTGGACTAACACGACGGGAGCTGACCAGGGATTATCTAATTTCTCGACTATCCCTTCACGACCTTCTCCATCTCTTGCCGCTTTGCTGGGGCTATTCCCCTTGGAGGGATCTTCATTGGACGGTGATTGCCTGTGTTTATTCTGAACTCCACGAGGTCTGTGCAGCCGAGGTCATGATCTCCTTTTGAAAAGACGTCTTCATAATTCGCCAAAAGTTCCCTAACCCGAAGAGCCTGTGATGATGACAAATGAACTATACTTTTCTTATAGAGGTCAGTTAAATGTTCTGGAAGAGGACGTCCTTTCTTAATGGTCGTATTTCTTGCCTTAATGTTGACTGGCTCTACCTCCTGGCACACACCCAACAATGCCCATTCCTTAAGTGTCTGCTCGCATTTAGAGAAATTGGCTACTGTTATGGGTACTACCTGATGACCTGCCACAAGTGACCTTCCAATCTTCACATCCACTGGCCTGGATGGGTCTTCCACTGCTTCGACAAGCAGTGGGCTTCCTTGGGGATGTTCTTTTATTCTACCCCAAATTATCTTCTCTGACATAGGGGTATTGTAGTTGACTTAAGTGCTGTGACATGCAAATCAACAGATGCAGCAACACTTACTGGAATTTGGCCTTTGTTGTTCCCAATCGTCATTTTATCGAAGTTAACTACACACTTCCTCGGTAGTAAGTAGTCCAACCCTAATATGCATTGGTCTTCAATGTCACCCAAGTATACTTTGTGTCTGTCCTTCATGTCCATGAGCTCAATAGTTACCAACACTGGTCCCCACAACCTTGCATAATGCCCTGTCACACCACAGAGTTTCTGTATGACTTTGCCCAACTCACCAAATAGTCCAAATCCTTTAGTAAGGCAACAGCATCCTCATCACAGCCAGCAACAACAAAAACATTAATATAATCAGCAAATTTAACTAATCTATTTAGTATAATATTAAAACTAAAAATGCATTTACTCCTAGAAAAACATAGATGAAATTTTATATTTATTTCCGTCCAACTTTCCTCGACTTGTTCTGGTCCACGAGGATAAATCGTCTTACTTCCCTGCTTTGGCTGACAATTCATTACATTGACCTAGTGAAACACTGACCTATTTCACAGTATAAATCATATTCCTATAGAGGTCACTAGTTATTTGGAGAATATTGATACCGTTACACAGTGTAGTTACTGAGCTCTGTGTGCTCGTCAGTAAGTAATTAGACAACGTACTGTTCTTTGTGAAGAAACATGATGGCAAGCACGTAAGCCTCGATGTTTTAATGTATTTAGTTTGCATTTCAAAATTCTAATACAAGTTATAACGACATACGTATGTGTAAGTAGTAATACTTCTCGTACCATAACATTCACTGATTCCGAGTAGACTACCAATACCATTGTAATTTGTACCAGTACTATATGTGAAATATGAAAACTGAATGACGTTAGTCTTAAAGCTTAACGTTAAACTACTCTAAAAAAAAACGTAGTTTTAGATTCTGATTTTATTATTATTAACGTTAGCCTGTGTAGTTGCTCCTTTTTATCTTTTGTTGAATGTAAATGTAGATTATTAATGAGTTGATGTAGTTTAAATGTAACTTGTAGTTGTACTTGTAAGTTGTATGGAAAATAAAAGGCATGATTTCTAATTTTATGCGATGATCAGTTTTTGCAGTTTTAGTTTGACCGTGTAAGTTTGTTGATTAAATTTGAAATTGACAGCCGTTTGGATTTGTTAAAGTTTTTAGAACTAGAAGTTGAGCTAGTCTAACTATTACTACTAGTAGTATTTTACTTTTAGCTACGTACTAAGTAATGCTGAAATAGTATTGCTTACTATTAATAATATTATACAATACTAATCAAATATATTGATCCTGGATCAGTACATTTCAATCGTATCATATAGAAAGAGTGTTTTTCCATCGCTTACATGATTCATCATGTAAACAAAAATCAGGAGCAGATCCAGGCCTGAATCTTGGACTATAGCTTAACTTGTAAGTTGTAGATTTAATTAATGTTAATACAAAAATAGAATGTCTTAGTTAATGAAAACAAATCTGTGTGCCGATGAGACTGAGGACAAGTTTAATTACAAAACGTAATTCTAGAAACTGAACTGAAAATAGTTTAGTGTTTTCATAAGCATTTGAAGATCTTTCTGGTGCAAGATGGTGTAACATAGCATATGAAAAGTAAAAGACAAGGTTATCCTTGCATGCCCACACAAGTACATCTCAAGAAAGAAAGAATGTGTAAATTAAATCCACCCTTTTAATTTTTTCAGGAAATCATTGATTTATTGTTTTAAACTTCTGTAAAGTGCTGGCCTTCTCTAGTAGTAGTACTTGTAAGTTGTAGCAACTTATTCCATACACTAATCACTGTTCAAAAAATAAAACTGTCATAAATAGAAGTTGGTTTATCTTTTTTAAATCTTCTTCTATTGTCTCTGAGTCTGGGCCTTTATCTTATTGACCCATTTTGACTAATCTTGTAACCTTTGATAAATTAATTACTTCGGTTCTTCTCTGTACACAGGCATATCTGCTTCTATGTTAGATTTTGATGATTAATTGATATAATTCATTACTTATGAACATTGATCATTGCTACTAAAGTTATTGATTAGTCAAAATTATGGCTGAATTGATTATCAGGAAAATAATCAATTAATCTAAATTAATGGTTCTAAATATTACTGTTTTTGTTTATTTCAACTGTCCAAAAAATCAAAATATCGGCATCATGATTTCTCATTATTTTTTCAAGTTTGTTCAGCTTAATTGATTAGTGCAATGAATTAGAAAAATAATCAACTAGTCAAAATTAGTGTTTCTAGTTATAATTATTTTTGATTATTTAAATAATTGAAATATTGCAATTCTAATTTCTCATCATGATTTTTAGATTAATTCAAGTTTTTTCAGCCCAATGAATAGGGTTGTTCCCTCATGATTGGAGGGTGTGGATTTAATTCCCATTGCAACCAAAGTTACTCAGACTTTTAGCCATGAGGCTCTACAGGGTTCATACTTAACTTCTTTTCTTTTTTTTTTGTTTACGGGAACCTACCTTGAGCCACCACACACACAC